AGGGGTAACAGCTTGAAAATCAATCCAGCGGTGGTTTGCCAGATTATCCCTTAGTGCCTTGGCTGGTTCTGCAGAAGTGGAGTCCAGGTCCGCCCGAAACCGAGCAACTTTGTCCGCCAAGAATTGGACGTAGTCCTCAGCCCTTCCCTGCAAAGGATCGTCCATTATTTCTGATGACATCACTGGGCACATCCCTTGCCAATAATTATTATTACCAATAATAGCAAAAAGTGTGTGTTTGGAGGGTGATATTAAATTGTAGTGCCAGCTGAGTTCTTTTGTGAAAACTGAAGACAAACCAGGTGTGTGTGTAATAAGTGATTTTTGTACATGTTACCCTTTCCGTTTTCGGATGGGCAGGCGAGGCCTGTAATTTCATTCTAGCCCGTCTTTTCTGCTCCTTTCCTTTTGCAGATGCAGCGTGTCCGAGCCATCTTGAAGCAAAGGGACTTAATGATTAAGGAGGGGAAGTACACGCCACCCACTGACCAGAATAAAGACTGAGAGTTTGGCTGTGATCCCCAGGGAGAAAACCTCCTTTGCTCCCCAGGAGCCAAAGAGCTCTGCTCTTAAGAGATTACTAAAGAATGGTTTAGTTGGAATCTTTCATTTCTCTCTTTTGGTTTATAGTCCTGCCCATGAATAAAATTCTTCTTTGGAGCCTGGAATGTTACTGCTTCAGGTACTCTGCCTGTGTGATATCAAAAGTATAAATCACCCCTTGCAAGAAGAATTTAGACTACTACTGAAAAATCTGGCTGCATAATGTAAATAGCAATAGCACTTAGCCTTATATACTGCCCCCCAGTGCTCTAAGTTTATAGAGTCAGCCTGTTGCCCCCAACAATCTGGCTCCTCATTTTACCCACCTCGAAGGATGGAAGACTGAGTCAACCTTGAGCCTGCCAGGATCAAACCCCTGGCAGTCAGCAGAATTAGCCTGCAATATGGCATTCTAATCATGGCTCTATGAGGCCGTTGTGGTGGAGGATTTTTGTTATGGTTTGGATAAGCGTGCTTGTTTATTCATGACTTCAGGATCATGTACATACTCTCCCCCACCCCCTACATTTCCTGAATGTCTGTGACACTGAGCCATATAGGACTGGAGGATGCGAAACAGGTTTTCCCCTCTTTCTAGCCTGAGCCTTCAATCGTTGGGCTGCACTTTTTATGCCTTTGCCTCCAGACTGATCTCTGAATCTTCTGCCCCTCCACAGTCCCCTGCCTCTGTCTCCTTCCTCTTCATATTTGGCACAAGGGCTAGGTGTGACTTTTAGTTGCCAGTCTTGGGAATTTCTGTACAATAATTAGGTGTCCTTCCTCCTGTCGGCTAAGGCCACTTGGACTCTTTTTCTAATGTGATCCTGCTTTCATGTTACAGTCTCTTGTACATCTTCCTCTCTTCCTCTTCCTCCCCCCTCCCCCCAGGCTTAGGTTGAGATAATTCATATTTTGTTGGCTGAATATCACTCCAGTTGTCTTGATTCATTGCTCTTTCATTATTTGCAGGGGCCCCCTTTTCACATTCTGCTTTCCGTTATTGGCAGAACCAATACTTTTCATTCTCTCCTGGGATCATTGAGCTTCCAGAGACCAAGATCTGCAATGGGACAGAGGCACATCCTCCTTGGGCTGCATGCAGCCTCTCCAAACTGAGCAGCCTGAGTCTCTCCTCCCCCACAAGTGCTCGGTTTCTAGCATTTTCCCCTCTTGCTGATTCCCAATATGAGGCCTGTAACTTCTAAAACTCCAATTGTGGATTCTAATCAACTGACCAGCAAACCTCACACTGGTGATTGCAGATTGCGGCAATTTAAAAGGAGAAATTTTAACATTTTAAAAAATGTATTTCAAAGTGTACACACTGCTACTTCTTGCAACTCATTGTGGTTATAAAGAAGGATTTTAGAAATATGAAAGGGGTGGGGGTGGGGTCTCCTTACTTAGAGGCAGTTAGTGTGAGTGGATCTCAGCCCCTTGCTTGTCCTTGGCGCTTTTCTTGATCCAGAAAATGATGCTTCCCCTCCTTGCATTGTCATTGCTTGGGAAAGCCATTGCTGTTTGTAGGAATAGGGTGGTTGGTAAGGAGGACTGTTTCTCCTGCAGAACCTGATGCATGGGGCAAACGGTTGCAGCACCTGGGCCCGAGGCTGCCTAGCCCATTACCGGCCCTTGGATTAACAAGTTCTGGATTGTCCTCTTGCTGGGAAGATGGGTGTATATTTGGACAGAAAAAACGGAGGCATACTTTTGCTCCCAGCTGGAAAGTGGGCTGGATCCAGTGAGGGCCACCCAGCACAGCTTTGGGGCTCTGAAGGGGGACGAGGCTTCTGGCAAGGTTCCTTGGCCAGAGTTCAGCCACTGGTGCTTCATAGCACCTGACATGGCTGGGGCTTCCTCTGGGAGAAGCGGGCTGCTCTCTTTAGGACAGGCAGAGTCCCTCCTGCACAGACTTCCAAAGAAATGGGGAGGTGGGCATCTGGCTAATTGTGCCACCCCATTTCCTGCCAGGGAACTCTTAGGGTTCTTAGGCACCATGCCTGGTTCTGCAGCCTCTCCTGTAACTCAGGGTGAGGGTGGCAAACAGAAAGAAGGCAGAGCAAAAATTCCAGGTGGTTTTTCTCATTAAGAATACTGCATGTGATGATGCGATCTTTTTTTTTAAACCCGCATATCCCATTTCCAAGATCCTGGTGGGATATGAAACATCATAGAATAAATGGCATTCCAAATAAAGTGTCAGCATATTTTCATACTTGAGATATGCTCCAATACCCGAATCATTAGATAATTATGTCCCAGGGCTTTTCTGGATCCTGCAGTGAGACCGCATCTGCCAAGGTAATTTTCAAAGTGTGTTCTGTTGTCCTGGCACCTGGACCAAGATGTTGAGCAGGAGAACTGGCCCTCTGAACCTGGCCAGAATATGCCACGGCTCTGGCAAGGGACAAGCAGTCCTCACATACGTGGTTCTCCAGCTGCCCAGGGGAAAAGCTCTCTTCCCACAGCTGCCTCCATGATGCAGGGCCAGATGCTGGGATGGCTGCTGGGAGGTGGGTGAAGGCATGCAGTTGGAGTAGACCAGCCTCTTTGCCTTTGTTGCTGTGTGACCTCCCCACCCCACTCCAATAACTGACTGGACTTGCACAAAGAAAGGAGGAGAATCACTTTAGGATGGTGCCACCCCAAAACCCAGTTCAGAAGGATACTGTGATCAATACCCTTAAGAACTATAATCAAGGACTACCAGGACAGATTTACAACCCATCCCAGCTCCATCAAAGGTCAACAACAAATGTACCTTGGCACCTCAGGATCTAATGCACAAGTGACTGAAACCACCATTGAGAGGATCTTGTCCACTGCATTGGAAATAACAGAATCAAACTCAACCCACATCATCAGACTCTGGCACAGGAAACTCCCATGGATATGCCCAACTCCAAGGGAATCCAAACAACGTATCTACCCCATTGCATGAATCCCCCATACCGCATCCCAATAGATGCTCCCAGGACTTGTTCCTCCCCAACAGGAAGTACCCTGCACAGGACCACTGGGCAGCTTTGGGTGGATGCAATAGAGGCAGAGAGAGAAATGACATGTTGCTGCTCTTCTTGCCATGAGATCATTCTAAATATGGGCTCTTAGCTGTGTTTGGTCAAACTTGCCTGAAGAGGCGCTTTCAAGGCGTCTCTTCTGGAACTCTTTAGTAGACCAAGATGTGCTCCATGATGGGTGCATTGGGAGAAGTCCCATGCCTCAGTCACCCACTAACTTCAGCCGAACTGCCCAGTAGATTCTCAGGGAAAGTCCCAAGTGCCATCTGGAACCACTTCAAGAGGCCCTTTCTATGGGCAGCTGTCATTTTTGTTTTCCAGAGATGCCTGTGAGATCGAAGTACACTTGGAAGCGCAGTGAGGACTGGAGAGCGATGCTTGGCTTCAAAGGAAGCTGCCTTCCTTTTATTTGAATTACTTGGGACCTAAAGAAACGGCCCACCCAATTTTTGGACAGAGGTCCTTAGAGGAGTGGACTGTGAAAGAAAAGCCAGGGTGAGCTGAGGGGGGGGGGGTCTGCAGCTATGGTGTCTGCTCTTATGCAAAGGCCTGGGATGGAAATTTGGGGGTTATTTTATTTCATTTATTAAATTTATTTGCCACCCATCTAGTATCAAAACAACTTGGGGGCTTACAGCATTAAAACAATTTAAATCCTAAAAGATAAATATTTCCTGGTTATAGCAACCCTGCTTGCCTCAAGGGTACAGAAAGGTGGAAGTGGCCCGTCTGCTGTGACTGGGCTCCCAGATGGCCGCAGAAGGAACAGCCTCCCCTGAATTGTCTCTTGCCTACATGCTGTGAACTGACCCACTCTTTCTCTGGATCTGACCTGGTGCACGGCCCGCCTCTCCCTGCTTCTATATACAAATGTCTTGGAAGTGGCGATTTGTGTGCTTGCAATTAAAATGCTGCTGTGTAAGTCCATCATGCTTGTTTCATTTCCCCATGACATTCCCCCACAGAGTTCCTTGGAACTCTGTGGGGAAATGTCCCTCTCTTTGGACAGGGGCTTCCTGGGTAGATTCATGAATGTGGTACAGATGAGTCCTTGCTTCAAGATGCTGATCCGGGCATGCCTCATTCATTTGAGTGTGACATAAAGATCTCCTTTCTCCTGCTGGGACTGGTGAACAGGAGACACACCCCACCCCCCAGCAGAAGAGGAAGGTCAGCTCCTGAGAGGCACATTTGCGAGCATGGTACCCAGCAGAGTGGTTATTAAATGTTGAACCACTTCCATCCAGTGATCCCAAGAGAATGTTTGAAACACTCAATGTGTTCAGGATGGCTTCTTTTGATATGGCTATAAACTAGCAGAATTGCTGCTCCTTCCGTTTCTCATCACAGGAAACCTTATTTGGTCACTCCTCAAATTCCAGCAAGCCCTCCTGCTTCAAAAGGCCATCTTTGCAAGAATTACAAAGTTGTCAAACATGATCGAATTCTGAATTGTTTCATTGTTATCGGAGTCCTGCCTATAAATCAGAACTGTCACATTTTCTTTTCCTAAGTCCTCTCCCACTTTTTGGTCAGTGAGGGTAACCTGCTTTGTCAGAAGTGGGTTAAAAAGATGCAATGCATTTGGGGAGGGGAAAAGTGGCAATAAAGGAAGTCATCAAGTCCTGCAGGGAAAGAGAAGCAGGCAACCTGCTGATGGTTGGTGAAGTTGGTGCATGAAAGAAACAACCATTGACCCACATCTGCCAGATGCCTCTCAAAAACTGTACAAGCAACGAGCTCCCAGTTTCTGTCATAAAGGAAGGATGGAGCCCCACAAATAAAGAGGAGACCTGACAGGTAGAAGAGCAGAAGAAAAATGGTGATGGTGTATTGGGACACAGGAAGGGTGCCCCACCACAGGGCAGCCACCATGAGTCTGAATGCAGTTTTGGTAAATAAATAACATTCAGTTCCAACTTCCAGGGTTAAGTATTTTTTTGAGCAGAGAGGACGGTGTTCCACTTGCCTTGAAAATGGAGGCCTGGACGTGTAATCTCTCTGCTGTATCATTTGCTAGGAAGATTTAGGAACCAGGGACGAAACTATAATTGCAAAGAGAGCTTCAGGGGGGCTACTTTCCATGCCTGATTCTGTCATGATAA